ACACATAAATCCTTATTATACTCAAGGCCAATCCTATTTTTAAGACTTGAACATTTGTGCAAATACCAACTGTAAGTTCACAAGCTTCTCATATCAAAGACGTCCCAAACACCAAAGTCCAGTTGACAATCAAGACTAGCTTTTTTAGACTCAAACATGTGCACAAACAAGGCAAAAACTTTTCTCTGGTATTAGTTGTTAGCAATGGGTGAAATAACAAGACACTACAATAGTATTGAATAACTATTAGTCATTGATAGATCAATAATAGTGCTATTAGCAATCTTCAGCTCAAAACAACAATTGCTATTTATGTACAAAAACAAGAGATGCACAAGTATTATGTTTCTTAATAGGCAAACTAGAATGACAATAAAATATTAATACGTAAAATCACCATTGTGTTCTTGAACCTTTTCCATATGTATGCTATATAATGAATCTTTCCATATATATAGTGGAAGTTTGGGGGATAAAAAATATAGCATTGAGATAACCAACCACTAGAACAACATTGCATATCTATGAACCATAGACAACATTCATGAAATAATGGTCTAAGGCTTTAACCATGAAATAATGATTGCACAAGGGTAGTCAAAGCCATCAGGAAAGAGAAGACAATGTAATACTACCTTCCATGTAAAAAGAAGCAAAGAGAGGAATGAAATGAAAGAATTAACAGTAAGAAGATGCTTGAACCTAAGACAAAATGATTAGCCAAGCTTGGGTTTTATATGTTCCCATATAAATTAACTAAGACAAAACCAAGATGCTAACAAGAAACAATTTGCTGACACACTGCTATGCCATAAAGTCCAACAAGAATCAAAGAAAATGTTCTATAAATCTATAACATATTTGAGATTTCCCAAGTTTTGATTCTAGCAGTCCACATGAAAGCTTTATTAAATATGAAAAAGTAAAAAACACATGTTTCATAGGATAAAAGAAAAAATTGTTCCAATTCATCAAAAGGAAGTTGCCTTATAACTAAACTAGATAATACAAATTAGGAATAGAAAACTAAAACAATAAATTATATGGATTAGGATTTAGAAATAGAAATGCCTAACCTAGTTCCTTTTTGTCTTACCAGATAATAAAAATGAGAAGACATGTGAAGGATTAAAAACAATGGCACAAAGTCCCATTTAGGAGGACACATAATTAGAGGAAACTCCAAATGAAAGTTAAAAAAAAATGAAAATGATCTAAGGCTTTGTTGGGAATAAATTGTAGAAGTTATACAGTACTTTTTCACATTCTTTTTTTAAAGCTTTAATTGATTTTGAAAATTACTTGAGGGGTTTTTTAAAGTTATTGTTGCAACTAAATAGACAGATCAACCACGTAAGAAACATTCAATATGTAACAAAATTTAAGAAAACTGATTATCTTGTAATAAGTTTTTTTTTTTTCAATATTTCAAAAAAAGGGGGGGATAGAAAATAGTGTTTTCATTCCTATAACTGCAAATGAATTAAAATTATATTATACTATACCTTTTGAAGATTTTATTGACACACAATTTCCATTCACCACCTTGATAGGAATTCTTCCATCTTGTTGATATTTGAATTTGAAATAATCTAAACAACTAATGTCTATAAACAAGTCAAATATATTAGGAAAGTAAATTAGCACTCAAAAGTATAAAGAATATTAACATCAATAAAATATGAATTCAACTAAGCATATGTTCTTTTTTCTATGAATGTTTCATCTACAACCATTGTTTTCCAATTGAGAATGCTTGAGGGTGTAATAATAAAGAAAAGTAATTTAGCTAAATAAGGCAAGATTCATCGCTTATATTTCAAAACAAAGTCACATCACAATATACAATAGAGATTATTCAAAAAGTTGCTTTCAGAAGAATATATATTTTGTTGTGTTACCATATTTGTCTAAGACTAAAAGATTCTCAATCTTAGAAAAAGTATCAACATTTACATGATTCAACTAGACAAGATCCTTCAAGATTAAGAAAAAGTAGAAAAGCTAGAATTTGGTTTAAAAGAATAGAGCATAGAATTGCAAAAGGAATAATAACAAAAATGAATTCCACTTAAAACAAGATCTGGGCCATGCTTTGCATAATCCTTTTAGGAATCGCATTTCTATGCCCTATGTGCTTTTCACTTTAGGGCAAAAAATTGAATTTGTGATTTGAGAGATATCTTGGTTTTAAAGCAAACAAAATAAAAGAAGAGTATCTATGGTGTAATTTAATTCACTTTTGATTCAATCTTTTGCTTCAAGAAGAACACAGAGCAGAGTTAAATATATGAACCTATATAGCAAATATATAAAAAGAATCCAAAACCAGAACTTGAATAAGCTTGTTGAATTTGCTAAAAATTTTGTTTGGCTTCACTCAACAAACAAGGCGTACTTGTTTACCTATTTGGATGCCATTACTACATGAAATTTAATCAAATCCATCCGATCAGTACCTCACGTAATTCAAACCAAAAAATTCCTAGATCTATAACGCCAAAAGGAATCAAAAAAATCAAAACACAAAGGAGAAGCGACTAACCAAACAAGCTAGCAATAAGCTCTCCTTGTTTCTGTATTGGAATAATCTAAACTAACATCAAGAATGGAATCGATAGATTTAAAGATGATAAAACCTATGTAGTTAGAGGATGACCATTACAAAGAATCAAGATTGTCCATACAAGAGTACATAAACATTTATGATGTAGTCTTGAATTTCTAGATTTCAAACATGTGAAATGGGCACAAAACTACAAAAGGAATAAAGGTAATTTCATCCAAAGGCATTTAAGTAAGATGCATTAGATGAGGTTTTGTTTCATAAAAAACGTGCAGGTCTCTCTATAAATGAAAAAAAGGAAAGGCAATTACTCCATTCCCTATTCAAAACACAATCCCAATTCAAAAAGATAAAAGAAGCATGGAAATCTAGAATGTTTTAAAAATGAAAATGAAAAGAATCAATAAAAATGATCAAATTCTATAGGAGTTAAAGAAAGACTCATTTGATTTTTTTTAAAAAAAGCAAAAACAAGAAGAAACCTGGAGAGAATCAATAATGACTTAAAAAAACCTGCTTAATCTATTTGATAGGCCTTTCATCTAGCCCTTCACTGAATGTCGTCTAATGGGTCTTCCTTGGCTTGAAGAAGGTAAGATCATGAGAGAATTGAGCTGCTAAAATAGACAGAGAGAGAGAGAGAGAGGGAAGGAGGGAGAGGGAGAGCGGGTGCTGAACAATATTGAAGAAAAGGAGAAAAACAAGGAGTGTATTCTGTGAGCATAGGAGTGTCGATGCTTAGAGGCTATGAGGAGCGTATTTACTAACATCTACAAGAGTGTATATCGGTGTTTATAAGCTAAGACTCAGTAATGGCTAGTTGAGTAGTTGTACCTCTTATTATTATTACTTTTTCTTTCTTAATAGGGAAAATGACAATTAAGGACATTAATCCCAGTTGGGAACCATAAAATATAAAAATCCCAATCAAGGACCATTATAAAAAACATAGCTAACTTAAAAAAATTGCTCCTTCATTGAATACTAAAAGGTAACAACAAAATAGCTAATCTCATGTCTTTGTTTTCTTATTTTTGGGTGCAAAAAATTCTAACTGATATGCTTTGGTGCATGAAAAATGTGGGCAAAAAATTAGTAGAGTAGATCATCATTTGGGTCATCATCTTCTCCTATCTTCTAATAGGTAATTACATATATTATTTCTTTTACATCTTCTCCTTTGTCATGCACGCAAGAGAAATCTAATTTCTTCTTCTCTATCTTTTACATGTCCTCTGTCATGCATGCAAGCAAAGAATGTTTAAGTTTTTGTAAATGCTGTCTTATACTATTTCTCTTTCTTTTATACCTAGGAAAAAAGTAATCTTCTTGATAATTAATAGATTATATATATAGACATACATAATAAATGATTTCTAAGAACGCTATTGTTAAAAAAGTTGAGTGAAAAATAAGAAAGATGTAACATGGATGCTGAATTTTTCTATGATGTGATGAAAAATGCATTAATGTTGGAAAATGCAATATGGACGATGAATTTATCTTCAGAATAATGGAACTCAAGAACTGATCCAGCATATTGCCATACCAAACAAGAAGGCAAAATATTCTTGGAAAGGGAATTCACCAACCCTTGCTCATGCTTAGATTGATTAGTCCAACTCTAATAAAAACCTATTTGTATTGCTTGCTTGTTCAGATAAATCATTTTAAGGCCAAAATAATAAGAAAATGAAATAATGGGGGCATTGAAGGCTGCTCATAATAAAGCTTTTAGAATTGAAAAGCCACCACTAGGTAACTTATTTATAAATAAATTCAAGAACATTCAAGCAGTAGCCAAGTGAGAGAATGATGCAAGGGTCAGGATTCAACTTCAATCTTGGAAAGAGTATGGGAAGAATAATTCCAAATAATGGAAAATGTGTACCTCCATCTAGAACATTCACAGCAAAAACCACACTACGTTGAGATTGTGTTGCCCAATAAGCATTTCATTTTTTAAAAGCCAAAAAGATTCTGAATTTAAAACACAATATAAATGTAGGTAATCCATGTGCTTAAGAAAAAAAAATAAAGATTAAAATGAATGTTACATTCTTAGAGATGCCCTTCCTCACATGAATAAAGACTGATAACCACACATCACAATTGGAAAGCAAACAAAAGATAAAGCAACCAAAAAGTAACCACTGCAATTAAACCATCATCATAAATGCACCAATCTACAAAAAAGACGTCTCTAATCATAAAAAATGAACCAAGTTACAATTCATTAACTCTTTACAATTCTAAATTAAAATATTTCATTCTAACTTTGCGATTCCCTTTTGAAAAAAGATGATTGAAATAAAGGTGACAATTTTTTCAAACATCTTTTGTAAGAGTTGAATAAAGAACATTTAAGCAAAAGGTGAGGATAAATGAAAATTGTGAAGAAATCAATTTCACTTATACCATAATAAAACTATACCACATCGGTTGAGTCTTCTCTGACTTCAAGACCAACTTCTATAATCGCAATGTCAACCTGTGAATGGGGTTACGATAAAAACATTTTGAGGGGGAAAAACATTACCATAAAGATAGAGGACAAAAAAGGAAACAGAGAAGTAAAAAACACAAAGGACATGTATCAATATCAAAAGGCATATTTGGTTCAAAATAGTAAGAAGCTGAAATAGTGGTGGCATTGAAGGTTGCTCTTTAAAATTTTCCTTCAAAAAACAAGGCTTCTAGAATTGAAAAGCCCCCACAAAATAATTTATTTACAAATAAATAATAAGACAATATTTCTCAACCACACTCAAGCAATAGCTAAGTGAGAGAATGATGCAAAGATCAGGGTTCAAATTCAGTCTTGGAAAATGTGTGAGAAGAATAATTCCAAATAATGGAAAGATTATACCTCCATCCAGAACATTCACAGCAAAAACCACACCACCCACAGATTGTGTTGCACCATAGGCATTTTATTCTTTAAAAGCCAAAATAATTCTGAATTTAAAATGCTTGCAAAATAAATGTAGGTGATCCACGTGCTAAAAAACAAAATCAAGATAAAAATGAATGTTAGAACCTTAGAAATGCCCTTCTTGACATGAATAAAGATTGATAACCATATATCAAAATTGGAAAGCAAACAAAAGATAAGGCATCCATAAACTAACCACTACAATTAAACCATCATTATAAACACACCAATCTACAAAAAAGAGAACGTATGTAATCATAAAAAATGAACCAATATACAAAACAGACAACGTATATGATTCATTAAAAAGTGAATCGTCATATGCGCCTTGGCCTAAGGTAAAGGAAGCCAAAAGGGATGAAACCTCACACCTCATGTTCAAGGACTCTAGATCCCTTGTGGGAAAAAGTCGAGCCTCATGGCAGAGGCACTACGTGATTTAAAGATAAACTAGAGGCATGAGAATTCAAGCAAAAGAGATGATGACGTGAAGTAAAGGAAAGTCTGCCCCGTTGATAACCATGTCAGCATTAGCTATGATGCACACCAAAAACAAGTGAGGATAGGGTTTATTGAGCAATTTGGGGAAATGGCATTGAAGAAGCACACAGAACTCCGTATCCCATTAGCAATTTGAGAATTGCCTTTGGGCTACATAATTATCCGTGAGAAATCGGAGGGATTACTCCCTACCATGTCCCAGTAGCTCATTTGTTTGAGTAGGATTAGTCAGTTGCCTACATCAATGCTTATTACCCCAAATTCTACTAGCAGCCCTGACCCTCTACCTGTATAGGATAATCATACCCACCCATAACACCGGTGGGGTTTGCTTTCTGGCTTCATGATTTGATATAGGTAATTAGGTATTAACGAAAAATTGAATAAGGAAAATGCACGAAAGTAGTTACCGCTGAGGCTTGTCTCTCTCGCCGGAAGCGCCTTCGCCCAGAACCGCCTCGCGCCAGCTGACTCAGAAGAGAGGGAGATAAAAAATTAAGCACTAAAATCTACTTCTCGACAGGTTGTCCAAGACGCCACGAACCACCGATCCTCGCTCAATCATCAGTAATCAGTAATTGACGTCGTTTCTGCCCGATAGTGTTATTATTTTAGTTTTTTTTATTTAATTTAATTAATGAACTTTTTTTCGACCGGAAATCATGAAAAAAGAGTTATTATTTCCATCGTCTTTCACGCAATCAGTAATTAATATCATTTCTGCCCATTAAAGTTTTTCTTAAATATTATTAATATTAATTTTTAGTTTGGTTGGCAAGAAAAAATATTTTCATTGAAATACATGCAATTAATAGTTGATAAGATAAAAATAAAATTTTGAAATAAAACAACACATCTATTATATAGCTTTTGATTTCAAGAGATTTAAATGAATTGGGAAAAATTAGAAAAATAGCCTAGATATATTGATTAAACAAAGAAAAATAGATTGTTACGCCAACGAAATGTAGATTACATATTAATTTTTCTGCCATAAAACATGAGTCCAATTTCCAGTGAACAAGGCCTATAAATTTAAAAAAGAAAATGAATGAAAATTATAATCTTATTAATCTTTAGTATTATTTTTAAGCTTTTAACTGTTTAATATCAATCAAAACTTTTATATTTTAAATTTTACATTTTAAATCTCACATTTAAAATTCATGTATTTAAAAGTTTTTAAACTCAAGAAAGAAAAAAATGAATTAAGATTCAAAATAAAAATAAAAAATTATAAATAATGAATTTGTTCATATTTTAAATCAATAAGATATGAGAAAATATGTAATAGCCATAAAAGTGTCAATAATAAAAATGTTAAAAAAAATAGAGAGATGTTTAAAGAAACTAAAATTTTAAATGACTAAGGTATAAAAAGAACTTGAAATTACTAATTAATTATAGTAATTTGAAATAGTTTAAATTTAAATCAAGTCCAAATTTATAATTTTTTGTGTATTTGAATGAAAAATTTAGTTCAAACCTAAATCCAAATTTTTATTAATCTAAACACACCATTAGGAATTATACATACATACATACACACCATTCATGAAATACAGTCGACTCTATTAATGGGAATGAAACAAATATTATGGTTAAGCAACTTTATTATTTATTATAAATATTTTTAAAATAAATGTATTGCTTATCTATGATTTTCAAGATTTTTGCAAGATTATTTATAATATTAAATGCAGAATCCTTCCAAGGTTATTATGTTTATCAAAGTTAGTGGGAGAATCAATGTTTTAAAAGTAGGACTAGACATTGAACAAAAAAGATTAGCAGGTCATGGCTTTTATAATTCAATCGGTTAGACCAATGGTTGAACCGTTAATATAATAATTAAATAAAAAATAATATATAAATAAAATATCACAATTTTAAGAAAATAAATTTAGATAATCTAAATTTATAATGATTTAACAAACTTACTTGAAAATAATACATGCAACAAATATTAAAACATAACTTGATTAAATTTTAGATTATATTATTATTTTTATTGTTTTTTATGTTAAATATTATAAGTTTTTCATTGTATTTTTTAACGCACAATACACACGTATATAAAAGAGAAGGGAACAAATTTACATTACCTCTTTTGATATACGTTGGGAGGCGGATATATATGTACGATAATCATCATTTTAAAATTTAAAAGTTAAATTTAATTTAACTTAAATAAATAGATAAACAAAAAGTTACAAATTGTGCAAAAAAGTAAAGAAATTGGGAGTCATCTCACGTCTTGTATCTCTTACATCTCTCTGTTTCATTATCAACCATCGGTACATTGCATTCCACGCTCACAAAAAAAAAAAAAAAAAAAAATAGCGAATGAACCACGGCAACACCATTCTCTTCTTCCTTTTCTCTTTCTTGTTCAAAATAATCAGATTTGCGTTTTCAACTTTCATTTTTCCAGTCCAGCGATAACGAGCGCACAAAATCGAAAATATACTTAGCGACATAAAATCAGAGAGGAAGAAATGCTATTATTTTATCTTGTATTTTTTAGTTAATTTAATTATTATTTCTTCATATTCTATTCTTCATCTTCTTCGCATATCCTGCTCTTGTTTTCTCCTTCATCTTTCACTTTCATAACCACAAATTGAGCCCAAGTATGAAGATTATTGACCTTCCTCTTCCATTTTACTCTTGGGTTTTTGCTTGAAGTTTTTTTTTTCTTCACAAGATCATTTTGGTTTTCCTCCTGTCTCAAATCCAGCCGGCTTTCCTTTGGCAGCCCCCAGTTTCTAGTTCTTGAATGGTTCTTGGCTTAAAATCCAATCCGCACTGGTCCAATCCAGTTCAATCACTCAAACAATTTAAAGTAAGAAACTGAGCTGTGCCTTTTATCAATCAACAGCTAGATTGGTTTGATTGTCTAGTTCGGCCTGGCCTTAAAAATATTAGGGAGAATATCATGGCTCATATTCTCCTATTCATTAATTTTATAAGTAAAACTTCAATTTAAAATACTAATTTCATTTTAAAATATTTGTCCATTAAAATTAGTATATACATACTAAGAAGTATAATTAATATGTCAAAATATGATACTCTCTCCAATCTTTTTTATAAATCACTCCTATTATGTTTAATCAAGAATCAAAGAAAATTTAAATTTCATTAACTCTGTCTGAGAATATAAGCTTTCACCTTTATCTCCTAATAAGAAAAAAAATTAATAATGTTTTCTAATATTTAAAAAGAGTGTAAAGATAAAGATAGATATAAAAAATAATAAAATATCTTATAAATAGAAATAAAATTAATTTTTTTTCCAACTCTAGAAATTAGACAAGAAGAGTATGCTTTTTACTCCTCCTTTATTTATGTATGTCCCATTAATGTGTCAACAATATTTTAGTGTCTGGGTGTCAAATAGAAAACGCAGAGGAATTCAGTAAAGTACTCCCGTGGGAGTTTAATTTTAAATTTTTTTTGGATGGAGTTTAATTTTAAATTAAAATTCTATAGAATATGAAAATACATGACTGGGCTAAGAGATTGAATTGGAAATATATTTTGATAGGAAATGATTAAAATATCTTTCACTTTTTAAACATAAAATGGATTTATTATAACTTTAACTTATCTTCTTACAAAAGCATATTCGTTAATTCATTAGCAAACTTATTATTCATATTAATAATACCTTGTATATATTCAATTTTATGGACTTATTATAATATAAAGCAGGTTTGTTAAAAGTCTGATATATCTTGCTATTTCAATAATGCGTTTTTATGAACTCACTTTGAGAACACCTTAACAATACCTTATAATTAATTAGATATTTAATATTTAATATTTTTGGCTTGTTACACTATATGGAGTGGACAACTTATAACATTAATTTAACTTATTGTTTCACTAATGAATATTTGTTAATTTTTTTATAGAACATGTTCACAATAAATTCTGCATATTTAATACTGTTAACTTACCATGATGTAAAGTGTGGAGTTATCATTTTAGCAACTAGCATTTATTCCCTATGCAATACATTAATTCTAATTAATTAACTCATTAAATCAATAAAATTTAATGAATAAAATAACTGTCAGGGAAGCACTTCGCTTTGCCATCAAATATAGAAACACCAATTTACAAAGTGTGGACTCATCATGAAAAATTCTTAATTAGACTCTAATATACCATGACATCTATAATCCGTTCAATAAAATTACATCATTTAATCAAATAAAATATTATGTGTCATTATTTATAATGAATTTATTTTTATAATAAAATATCTATTTTACTTCTTGCCTTTTATTTTTATTATCATTAATATCAAAATCAATTTCTCGCCTTTTATTGGATAAACCATGGATAACATGGCGTACTGAATCTACTTAAGAATTTCTCAATGTGTACTTACAAATTCACTAACATTGGCAGAGCTATATGATAGTCAAAGGAGCAAACACACCTATAATTTTTACAAGTATAGTATGCAAATGTTATGATATTACAAGTATAGTATGCAAATTTTGCAATTATGCACCCCCTATTCTTGATATTTTGCACCCTTTTAAACTAAATAAAAAATATTTTGGTTCAAAAACTTATTAGATATAAAATAATTTTATAATTTACATACAATATAAAGAGCATATTTACATAAAAAATCATATTAACTTGTTCAATATAATTTAAAAAAAATGATAATCCATCTATTACTCTTACTATAATTTTAGTCCTATAGTATAATTATTATTTTTAAAAAATATTAATTTTTTATTAAATTATCACGCATCTCCTGGATCTGCCACTACTCACTAAGGAAGCTTGTTAACAAAACCTTTTTTATATTCAATCTTGTTGATTTGTTAAAGTATGAAATGTATTTGTTAAAAACCATAATTTCACTTAATAAAAAAATGTCATGCATTGTACTTTTAGACTCTATTATTCATATTTTGAAATTAAACCCCCACATAAATCCTTTATCAAAATTCTCAAAAACAAAGCTAGCAAAAATTAAAAGAAGATGCACTCTTGTCAAACGGAAAACCAATTATTTTTATGATATTGCCATGATTTGGTTGATGCAGTGATTAAGCCACATCACATTGAAGGGTTACAAATGTGCCCCTTAATTTTAGAAAAAGTTATAAGTAGAGTATGTAAATTTTATAACTTTGCACTCCCTTCTTGATATTTTGTACCTTCTAGATTAAATAAAAAATATTTATGCTCAAGCACTTATTAAATATTTAATATTTTAATGATTTAAATAAAATATAAAGAGTATATCTATTATCAACCTATTCAATATAATTTTTTAAAAATGATTAATTTATTTATATTATTAAAATTTTAATCATGACATAATTATTATTTTTAAAAATTATTTTTATTAAATTATCTCGTATCCCCTACTTTGACTTTTGGCTTCGCCACTAAGTTCATGTCTTTTGTGATTCTAACAAATGCATGTAGAAACTAGTATATACATGCACAAGTTTATAAAAGGGTGTACACAAGTCATCATAGACTTAGAAACAAAATGAAATTTATTGTTTAAAAATTAACA